CCTCCTCCTCCTCCACCACCACCACCACCACCACCACCACCTTCACCTTCACCTTCACCTTCACCTTCACCTTCACCAACATTGGGTGACCTTATATTTTACCTTATAGAGGACCTTTATTATAGAGGTCCTGTATTTGAAGGGCTGTTGATCAAGCCTTGTTTAAAGATGAACCCCAAAAAAGAGATCAGGAGCCATAGAGTTGCCCAGCTGTAGCAAGCATGTGATCAGCAGACTGAGCTGGCATGGCAACCACATAATCACATATGGGAATAAATCTATTTTTATTGAAATTTTTATTTTAAAAGAAGATAAACTGTATGTTTCTTGTGTGTATATGAAGGAGGGGGAGGGGGAGGAAAACAGACACACAGAGACATTCTGTCTTTTTTAAGTAAGACTTGTGCATTCTCATGTTTGGAGGCAATCTCAGACTCTATGAGTTGTTTCTCTGTAGCCTTTTGAGTAGGTTGGTGAGATGTACAAGAAAACATGGTTGCCTTGCTTTAAGCACAAAATGACAAAACATATGCGGGCCCAGATGAAGTTCTTTGGTAGGTCCTTTCATAATTGTAGCTGGTGGCAATGCTCCAACAGCATCAGACAGCCATGTATAACTATCCTTTTTGGGATAGCTTTGTTATGGGCATGATGGGAAATGTCACAAGTGACCAGTTGCCATTTGGGATCCTGCTCACCCACCCTGAAATTAAAAGAATGTGGATCCTCCCCAAGGATGCCAGTTGCTGATATTGGTTTTGACCATGTCCCCTACCATTTCCAAGATAAAATAGCAACCAAAGTACCCCAATATTTCTGTCCTAAAATCAGAGATTGTGGCATGAGCAACTTCTCCCTTTGTTCCCATGCCCACTGAAATCTGTTCTCAGCTTATTCTCTGCTACGCTAGCCTGTCTTCTAATGTCTTCAAAAACAAGGTGGTTTTTTTAGGCTGAATGGTTGCAACTGGTGAAGCTGCAGATTTAATTACATGAATGCATCAGTCTTAGCCACTGGTGTCCTGTGTATTGCCTCTTTCATCCTAGAAAAAGTAATTGCCATTGCAATTTTATGTTTCCTATATTACTTTGAAGTAAATCCTATTAAGCTGGTAAACATATTAATCTCCAAGAGGCAAAATAAATGCCATATTTTCCAGGAATAAACCATTATTAGAGAGATCACAGAGTGTATTTCTGGTGGAGAAGAGGGAGGTACATCAGAATTCTGAAACAGAAATAATGGTATATCCCAATAAATGTTCCTGCCATAAACATTTTTCCTCAGAAATATATCCTATAGAATTTCTTTTAAAATGTGAGCAAAGAATGCATAAAATGGCATCTAGCTGACCATAATCAGGTGGCAATCTTACAGGTTTTAACGGCTTCTTTCACGATTAGAAATATGCATAGGTGAGTCTTTCTTATTCTTTTCTGTATCCAGTGCCAAATATAAATGTTGATGAAAAGAAACAGTATCATTCAGAACACACACATTGGAGAGAAGAGGAAAGAGAAGAGTTCCTGATTGGCAGTTGACAATATATGTTTGTGGCTGCTGGCTATTTCTAGCTCATGGAATCCACCTGGGGAATCAACCAAAACCATCCTCTTGTGAAATTTTGAAATTTTGCTTTGGCTGGAGGTATGGGGAGAGGAAGCTGGACGAAAAGTTGCTGAAAATTTTTCATGATGACGTAAGTATTTTAGATGCTAGACTTTTTTTTCTTCTTTGAAGCACACTTTTGGCTTTGCTTCTCCCTGCTTGCTCATTCCCTATCCAATAGGTTGATTTGTAGGAAAAAAAAATCTGATAAAATGCCTTCTGTGCTAGCAAAATGTGGATCATTTCTGCTTTCAGATTATGATTCCCTGATTTGGAAATATTCCTAGACATCCTCATGGTTAGCTGTTAAGTAAGCTTGCACTGTTACTTGTTATTTGGGCTCTGTGTGCTTCAGTTCTGATGACAGGGTGTTTTATAAATAGCAGGGAAGTGGCAGAAGGTAAGCATCTTCTTGCATTGCCACTTCTCAGTTCAAAATCTCTCTCCAGAGGGTTCCCCTGCCCTCTCGAGGAAGAGAGTAGGATTTTTTTTCCTTTTTTATTATGTGTAAGAACAGCCTTTCCTATGAGATAGGTTGGCCTGGGAAAGTGACTGGCTCAAGTCCCCCCATTAGCTTCCTCACTGAGGGTCTCTCCAGTCCTAATCTTGACACTTAACCCATTCTGCCACACCGGCTTCAGTGTGTCATACCACTACACTGGTTTAGCTGTATGTGTTTATATGGAATTTGGTCCCCAAAATTCCAGCACAAAATCTGCTTTCTCTAGAAAGGGTACACATTTTTGGAATCAAAGCAGAGTGTCACACTGATTTGGCAGGCTGTTTTTCCCCAGTTGCTGTTAATATTATATAAAATGATACACATTTTGCACTATTATGGTTTATCAGTATCAAAGCACTAGCATCCTCTCCAATCTTTCTGCGTGCTATAAGGCATTTTTTTCTATCCACAGCCATGGATAAGCAATTGTTTACGTACAGTATATTCATTTTAGGACCATAAGTCCTTCCTTAGGCATTCGTTGGATTAGTTGGCTTCTGCTTTGTGGTTTCAAGCAGATGACAGGTGAAACAAAGACAGGTGAAAATTTCAGTGAAAATTTGTTTTTGTTTTTGTATTTTTTACTTGCAACATCTTGCATGGAATTTAAATTGGAGAATCTTTTTTGGGCTAATGAAAAGCAAATGGCATGTTGAGGTTTTCTCTTCTCTTGTGTTAGACTAATCAAATCATTTATTACAGCCATAATGCCAGAAAAGAGCAATATAAAATCTGCAAAGTGAATCTATCTATTTATCTATCTCTACAAGAAGTACATATAAATATAAGAGATATAGCAAAGAATAAATATAAAAATACAAGATAATGAGTCCAATAACAGTGAAGTAAAATAACACATTAAACTAAGAAATAGGAGAAGGAAAAGAGTGCACAATTTCAGAAAACATGCCGTTTGGGTATTCTAGGAAATACCTAAATATTTTTTTTCCACAAATGCAGGTATGTAGTTAATGTCTATTTCCCTCTTATAGTTACAGATGCAAAAATTAATATTCATTTTATAACCCTGCGGCTACAATAAACCCTAGATAACCTATTTTTAGTTCAGCCATTGCTGCCCTCTGCAGGAAGTACATTTTTTGTCCTGCTATTTTTGTACATGAGGTCAAATCTAAGTAATTCAACTTCTGATCCCTATGATTCATCCAATAGTACATTTATTGAACTTCCCCTGTTTAGATAAAACTAGTTGAAAGTATGTGTGCCCTTTACACAAGGTACTTTAATGTGTTTACTGGATACGGTAGGAACTGCAGCCTAACATATTGGGACAGTACTAGAATACCTAGTTTATATCTCAAGATTAGCAGGAAAATAGCATTAACATTTTGGATTGCTTTTAATACAACTGATAAAAGCTAATGTTGCATCTAATGTTGGCAGCTATTACAGGATAACAGCATTGGAATGATTAGATTTATCAGTGCCAGACTACATTCGGGGAATAATAATGGGTTAGTGATCCTGATTGTCTACTGCATGTTTGTCCTTCCAAACAAAGGAGCAACAAGTTAATATTTGAAAACAAATTCAATTGCTCACTGCATATTTTCCTTTGAGGATTCCTTGTGCAATTATTCTGCAGGTCCTAACCCACCGTTGTCTTGCTTCAGTGTGGTGCTGAGCTTGCTGTCCACAAAAATGTTGTGCTTCTATTCATGTGCTGGATGATTTTTTTAAAAAAAATCTTTCATTTTCACTAAGGCATATTTTTTTTAATATCCAGGCAAGTGACTTAAATGTATCTGAAGTTTTCTAGTGTGCAAATACAAATCCAATTTAGTAAACTTTGTGACTTGACTTTAAGTACTGCCTATGTTCTATTTTGCATTTTCTCTCTTGAATGAGCATTTCTACAAGTAGGGAATTAGCTCTTGTGTGTCTGGATGAAATAACTCAATGTTCATGGCAGATACCTCACTGCATCATATATTATTATTTTCCTTCTCCTTTTGCAACATTTAATTCTTACTCCTCAGTGTTGAAGAGAGATGTGTTATAATTTAATGAAATGTTGAGTAACTTAAATCATTTTATTCAGCCAGTGATGCTGTTGAGAGAATATAGTGCTTCTCATGCTTTCTGGCAACCTCTCTCAGTCTGATGCCCTCCAGAGATGTTAGGACTACAACATTCCTAGCCAGAATGTTGGCCATGAATTCTGGGAATTGTAGTTTGAACCCATCTAGAGAACATCAAGTTGGAAGAAGGTGCTTTGTAATGGGGCACTGGAGTCTGCCATGCCAAAAAGAAACGGTGACATGTTGTAATGATTTGAAGATTTTCCATTAACTGTGCATACAGTGGGAAATTACAGATTCATGTAGTATGCTTTGTGAAGAGAATGTTCTTACTTATTTGAAAGTAATAATGGAAGTTATATAGAGCTTTGGGAGATTTTGATTCCATTTAAAATATTACTGCCATAAAACTTGACCATTTCTTACAGGGATACTGCTGAATGAGTTTGCGTGTGACTCAGTAATATACAATTTAATAATGGTGCATTGGTCAGAATGTGTTTCAATTATATTCCCAGTTTTGGCACATAAAAAATACGCAGGAGAATCTTTATACTTGATACTTTTAAGTTCAGTCGTAGATTTAATTCTTTCCATTGTAATGAAGCTCAGAAAAGAAAACATAATTCTAAATGTGAGAAAGCAACTTCAACTAAAAAGACTAAAATATTGAATTCAAACAAAAGAGCACACTCTAAGAAGTGTTGGTCCTTTTGACACAAATGCCAAACATTCATTTGGGAAAAAACCCGGAAAGATTAGAATTACAGAGAAAAGATTTGAAATTGCAGAGGGTGGATTTGAAAGGGAAGCAAAAGGCCCTGATATATGTTAGAATCCATCTAATGGTTCAGAGTCTCTGAAAAATATAGAAATAGACTGAGTTACACAAATTGATATACTTGTTCTCTGCCATTTATGAATAACTTGCAATAGTTCAGTTCATTTTCCAATTTCCAAACATAACTATCCTTGTATTGTCGAAGGCTTTCACGGCCGGC